GAGTGTCATCAGCATAGCAGTGATAAGAAAAGCCTTGCTTCTGAATAACAGATCCTAATGATGACATGTAGATGGAGAAGAGGTCCAAGCACTGAGGCTTGAGGAACCCCAATAGCAAGAAGTTGTGACTTAGAAACCTCACCCCTCCAAGACACCCTGAAAGACCTACCTGAGAGGTAAGATTTGAACCATTGGAGTGTGGTTCCTGAGATGCCCATCTTTATGAGTGTGGACAGGAGGATCTGGTGGTTAACTGTGTCAAAAGCAGCAGACAGATCTAGCAAGATGAGTACTGAGGATTTGGAAGCTGCTCTTGCCAGTCTCAGGGCTTCAGTAACCGAGAGCAGGGCAGTCTCAGTTGAGTGGCCATTTTTGAAGCCAGATCGGTTGTTGTCCAGGAGGTTGTTCTGTGCAAGGAACATAGAGAGTTGGTTGAACACAACTCGCTCAAGTGTCTTTGCAATGAACGGAAGAAGGGATACCAGTCTGTAGTTTTCTAAAAGTGCTGGATTTAGAGGGGGTTTCTTAAGCAGTGGTGTTACCCGAGCCTGCTTAAATGCTGTGGGAAATGTACCAGTGTGAAGAGAGGTGTTGATAATGTGAGTAAGCGCAGGTATGACTGAAGAAGAAATGGCCTGAAGTATGTGAGTGGGTATAGGATCAAGTGGACTGGTAGTAGGATCAAAATTGTTATTTGCGGTCCAATGGTTAAAATTCAGGGCTTCTCAAAGGCATGCTTGCTAGTTTAGTTAACAATTGCTGAGCTGAAGGGCTACACCTGTTTTCCACACAGCTTCTTACAACACAAAACTCTAAACATGTGATTAGCATCCTTCCTTATGAAAACATGCAGCAAAGAGTCAGCAAGTGGATTTAAATACAACATGATTCCTGACACTGAATCAGTGTTAATTTCGTCAACGAAGACGATGACGAAAAAATATTCACTAACGAACATTTTTTCTGTGACTAAGATGAGACGTTGACGAGCTAAAACTAATATCTGATGATAAAAAATATGACGAAATGTATAAAATCTACTTTATTAACAAGACGAGATGGGACTATAATGTTATTTGAGGACTACCAGACATTCAAAATACATCCTATAGGCTACTGTCTTGTCCTTCAAAATGTGTGTCCCTGTCATTGGATTACAATCGGATAAGGGGCGTTTGCATATCTAGTCTCAGTATGGCAGCCGCAGTGGATGGATAGGCTACCAAAATGTGAACTAGCTATCTCGAACTAGAGAGTAAAAGTTTGTAATATCTTTGATACTCAGCAATTCATTACATGTACTCAAATACTTTACACCTCTGGTTTGAACAAGTGTCTATTGTGCTGTATAAATGTAAATGGTAAGTTTAATTAGCAGTTTGCATTGCATTTTCTTATTCCTTTTTATAATTTGTGTGGTTAATGAATTAAGTACCTATCCGTGTCATTATTGATAACCAACAAAATATGTTAAATAAATCTACTGTAGCTGAAAAATGAATTTAATTTGTATCTTTCTTTTTGTCTTAATCTGCTTATTTTTCAAAAATTATAAATATTATATATGAACAACTATAATTTTTATAAGTTGCTCCATTTTCACTACTGTTAAAGGGATAGCACACCCAAAAATTTAAATTGTCATCATTTATTCAAGTTTTTCCAAATTCAATCCTTGATTCAAATTTCTCATAAGCTTAATTTATTTGGTTTAAAGAGAGAAGAATGAATGACTATTTTTGTTTGAAGACTACATATAGCTACCAAAATAAATGTTGGTAACTGCAGTTTGACTAAAAGTAATGACTAAAAATGTACAAAAATGCAATGACTTTTCGTCGACTAAAACTATGAAAGACTCAAATGCTGAAAATGTGACTGTAACGGGGCTGACAAGACGTGAGACGTGTGGATCCATCTGCAGGCTTTATTCAAGAGACGTAGTAAACAGGCAGGGTCAAAACAATGGCAAACAGGTATATGGCGGGCAAAACACAAGAATAGTCCTAGGGCTAGCGCAGGTCACCGATCAGCCAACAGAATCACAGGGGTGAGATGAGAGGGAGAAATCCAAGAAAACAGGCAAAGATCAGAAACCGCAAAAACAGGAAAGGCAAAACAAGAAAAACACGGCGACTCGGAAATGGGTACAGGCTAAACACTACTCAGCAGAGAAATGTGGTTAGAGTGGGTGTTATATAGTGAGTGAGGTGATTAGAAACAGCTGTGTGCAATCGCGCAAAGAATGATGGGATATGTAGTCCGGGGTGCTATGCAACAGTTTGTGTTGTGCGAGAGTCAATGAAATGGAAAGGGTGACCTCTGGTGGTGAATAAACGGAAGTCCATGGACTGAATTCGTGACAGTGACTAAGACTATTAAGCATTTTCATCTTTTCATCTCAACTAAATAAAAAATGCCAGTCAAAATTAACACTGCACTGAATGTAAACAATCGTAATAACTACTTATTCCCTTATTCCGTGATACTGCAAAAATGATGTTTTGCACAATGCTTGGTAGGAACAACACAGTGTAATTGAAAAGTACAAGAGCCAGAATCATCAAAATCCTCTTTCTTTCATCAGGGGTGACTGCGACCGAATGAGACCGAGCCTTCCACGAACCCACGAAGGAAAACACAACCAGTGGATAAGGTAACAAAAAAATAAATAGACTCAGAAGAAATGCAAGTTCCACATCCACTTTAAGTGCAATAATCACATCCATCACCATAAATCCACAGAGTGTTACCCAAACTAAAAAGCATATCAGAACTAAATTCCTACACGAATTATGAAGTCGGTACCAAACAGGGTATTTGATCATTATGTATCTTTCCACAGAGATACAGACCATGAAGCCAATGTTAACTACTATGCTGAGGATATAAACATGAAATACAAAAAAGAATACATTCTTTTTTATATTAAATGTACAAAAATTCAGAACAGGCTTGACACAAATCTGTATGATATCAGAAACAAATAGATTTATGATGAATACAGGGACAGCATGGTTAGACCTAAGCAGATAACACAGTCCATAGAGTGCCAGACATATGACAACAAACTCAATGGAGAAAATAATCCAGATAACCACCATTTCAGATGAAGATGCACACACAGCTGTCTTCACAGATGTCCAGTTTAATTTCTCCAGTAACCAAGCTAAATAGTTTACTTCCAACTGGAATGTCATGTTGGTTGAGGTTTCAGGGTAGGCCATGCTCTGTGAACTGGGCTTAGGATGTTCAAACTGAAATGAAAACAAATATGTTTTTGATTCAAAATTCATGTAATTTGCTTTTTCATGTAAGGTTTATGTTGTATTGTAAGCTCAAGTTTCGCAATTAGTAGACATGCTGCTGCCGAGCTCTGTTGAGAGACACACAGACTCGGGTAATGCACACGCGCCTAATATCTCTCGGTCTAATAACTGCATTAGTCTGTTAGCAACGGTTCATGCCTCCATTACTAGGTCTGAAACGATGCTTTGGAATTAGCAACTGAAGCATAGGATGAGATGCTACATGTAATCCTACACACAAGAGCGTTTTATAGACAAAAACCTGACAAATGTCTTGAAATACAACATCTGAACAATCTCTCGAGGTGTGGTAAGTGGAATAATTGACTCTACTTCACGTCTTGTGCGCATCACCTCGGCTGTGCATTATATTCTAATAATTTAATGGTCCCTCGTCAGTTATTCCTCACTTAATTTTGGCCAAAAATCTAAGGCATATGGGACTGCAGAAGGCCCTGGAACAAGTGTACAAGTACAGGGAGTGTTTTATCTGGAAGTTATTTTATTTATGTAATAACTAATATCCCCGGTTGTCAAAGAAAATAAATAAATAATGATGAATGAACAGTGAATCACTTGGCAATTAAACATCTAAAATGTATTATCCTATGCATATTAAAACACATATACCTTATTTGTATGTTGTGATTTCGATTTTTGTCCGTCCTGTAATACTCCTCGACCTGAAACACAGGAGAATTTCCTTCATTGCCATTAGAAAATAATCCACTAACAAGCATACTTGAAAAGCAACAAGAAGGTGAATTTGTATGGCTCCCTTCAATAACCAATTTAATGATTAATACTGCTTTAAAAATCAAACTCATTGCTGATTGTAAACTGCAACATCTACTTGCAAAAATCTGCAATGGAATAGAATACAAATGATATGCATTTATTTATCTAAAAAAAATTATATTTCTGTAAAATAAATCTAAAAAATATTTCTATAAAAAAATCTGGTAATACAAGGCGAACGCAGAACGCAAGCTTCTGGAGGGCGCATAAGTTTGAACTAGTGAGTTTAGGTATATTGGTGCAGCACCAGTTGTTGTCTTGTAGGCAAACATCAGTACCTTGAATTTGATGCGAGCAGCTACTGGTAGCCAGTGTAAACTGATGAAGAGAGGAGTAACGTGAGCTTTTTTCAACTCATTAAAGACCACTCTCGCTGCTGCATTCTGGATCAGTTGCAGAGGCTTGATAGTACATGCGGGAAGGCCAGCCAAGGGAGCATCACAATAGTCCAGTCTGAAGAGAACACAAGCTTGGACAAGGAGTTGTGCAGCTTGCTCTGATAGGAAGGGTCTAATCTTCCTAATATAAGTGTGCAATGTGGAAATGTGACCAGCTACTGTCGGATTGAGAATGAAGTAGGAATGAGGAATGAGAAGTAGAGTTGAGTGTCATCAGCAAAGCAGTGATAAGAAAAGCCATGCTTCTGAATGACAGATCCTAATGATGACATGTAGATGGAGAAGAGGTCCAAGCACTGAGGCTTGAGGAACCCCAATAGCAAGAAGTTGTGACTTAGAAACCTCACCCCTCCAAGACACCCTGAAAGACCTACCTGAGAGGTAAGATTTGAACCATTGGAGTGTGGTTCCTGAGATGCCCATCTTTATGAGTGTGGACAGGAGGATCTGGTGGTTAACTGTGTCAAAAGCAGCAGACAGATCTAGCAAGATGAGTACTGAGGATTTGGAAGCTGCTCTTGCCAGTCTCAGGGCTTCAGTAACCGAGAGCAGGGCAGTCTCAGTTGAGTGGCCATTTTTGAAGCCAGATCGGTTGTTGTCCAGGAGGTTGTTCTGTGCAAGGAACATAGAGAGTTGGTTGAACACAACTCGCTCAAGTGTCTTTGCAATGAACGGAAGAAGGGATACCAGTCTGTAGTTTTCTAAAAGTGCTGGATTTAGAGGGGGTTTCTTAAGCAGTGGTGTTACCCGAGCCTGCTTAAATGCTGTGGGAAATGTACCAGTGTGAAGAGAGGTGTTGATAATGTGAGTAAGCGCAGGTATGACTGAAGAAGAAATGGCCTGAAGTATGTGAGTGGGTATAGGATCAAGTGGACTGGTAGTAGGATCAAAATTGTTATTTGCGGTCCAATGGTTAAAATTCAGGGCTTCTCAAAGGCATGCTTGCTAGTTTAGTTAACAATTGCTGAGCTGAAGGGCTACACCTGTTTTCCACACAGCTTCTTACAACACAAAACTCTAAACATGTGATTAGCATCCTTCCTTATGAAAACATGCAGCAAAGAGTCAGCAAGTGGATTTAAATACAACATGATTCCTGACACTGAATCAGTGTTAATTTCGTCAACGAAGACGATGACGAAAAAATATTCACTAACGAACATTTTTTCTGTGACTAAGATGAGACGTTGACGAGCTAAAACTAATATCTGATGATAAAAAATATGACGAAATGTATAAAATCTACTTTATTAACAAGACGAGATGGGACTATAATGTTATTTGAGGACTACCAGACATTCAAAATACATCCTATAGGCTACTGTCTTGTCCTTCAAAATGTGTGTCCCTGTCATTGGATTACAATCGGATAAGGGGCGTTTGCATATCTAGTCTCAGTATGGCAGCCGCAGTGGATGGATAGGCTACCAAAATGTGAACTAGCTATCTCGAACTAGAGAGTAAAAGTTTGTAATATCTTTGATACTCAGCAATTCATTACATGTACTCAAATACTTTACACCTCTGGTTTGAACAAGTGTCTATTGTGCTGTATAAATGTAAATGGTAAGTTTAATTAGCAGTTTGCATTGCATTTTCTTATTCCTTTTTATAATTTGTGTGGTTAATGAATTAAGTACCTATCCGTGTCATTATTGATAACCAACAAAATATGTTAAATAAATCTACTGTAGCTGAAAAATGAATTTAATTTGTATCTTTCTTTTTGTCTTAATCTGCTTATTTTTCAAAAATTATAAATATTATATATGAACAACTATAATTTTTATAAGTTGCTCCATTTTCACTACTGTTAAAGGGATAGCACACCCAAAAATTTAAATTGTCATCATTTATTCAAGTTTTTCCAAATTCAATCCTTGATTCAAATTTCTCATAAGCTTAATTTATTTGGTTTAAAGAGAGAAGAATGAATGACTATTTTTGTTTGAAGACTACATATAGCTACCAAAATAAATGTTGGTAACTGCAGTTTGACTAAAAGTAATGACTAAAAATGTACAAAAATGCAATGACTTTTCGTCGACTAAAACTATGAAAGACTCAAATGCTGAAAATGTGACTGTAACGGGGCTGACAAGACGTGAGACGTGTGGATCCATCTGCAGGCTTTATTCAAGAGACGTAGTAAACAGGCAGGGTCAAAACAATGGCAAACAGGTATATGGCGGGCAAAACACAAGAATAGTCCTAGGGCTAGCGCAGGTCACCGATCAGCCAACAGAATCACAGGGGTGAGATGAGAGGGAGAAATCCAAGAAAACAGGCAAAGATCAGAAACCGCAAAAACAGGAAAGGCAAAACAAGAAAAACACGGCGACTCGGAAATGGGTACAGGCTAAACACTACTCAGCAGAGAAATGTGGTTAGAGTGGGTGTTATATAGTGAGTGAGGTGATTAGAAACAGCTGTGTGCAATCGCGCAAAGAATGATGGGATATGTAGTCCGGGGTGCTATGCAACAGTTTGTGTTGTGCGAGAGTCAATGAAATGGAAAGGGTGACCTCTGGTGGTGAATAAACGGAAGTCCATGGACTGAATTCGTGACAGTGACTAAGACTATTAAGCATTTTCATCTCAAGATGAAGACTAAATAAAAAATGCCAGTCAAAATTAACACTGCACTGAATGTAAACAATCGTAATAACTACTTATTCCGTGCTTAAAGGATACTGCAAAAATGATGTTTTGCACAATGCTTGGTAGGAACAACACAGTGTAATTGAAAAGTACAAGAGCCAGAATCATCAAAATCCTCTTTCTTTCATCAGGGGTGACTGCGACCGAATGAGACCGAGCCTTCCACGAACCCACGAAGGAAAACACAACCAGTGGATAAGGTAACAAAAAAATAAATAGACTCAGAAGAAATGCAAGTTCCACATCCACTTTAAGTGCAATAATCACATCCATCACCATAAATCCACAGAGTGTTACCCAAACTAAAAAGCATATCAGAACTAAATTCCTACACGAATTATGAAGTCGGTACCAAACAGGGTATTTGATCATTATGTATCTTTCCACAGAGATACAGACCATGAAGCCAATGTTAACTACTATGCTGAGGATATAAACATGAAATACAAAAAAGAATACATTCTTTTTTATATTAAATGTACAAAAATTCAGAACAGGCTTGACACAAATCTGTATGATATCAGAAACAAATAGATTTATGATGAATACAGGGACAGCATGGTTAGACCTAAGCAGATAACACAGTCCATAGAGTGCCAGACATATGACAACAAACTCAATGGAGAAAATAATCCAGATAACCACCATTTCAGATGAAGATGCACACACAGCTGTCTTCACAGATGTCCAGTTTAATTTCTCCAGTAACCAAGCTAAATAGTTTACTTCCAACTGGAATGTCATGTTGGTTGAGGTTTCAGGGTAGGCCATGCTCTGTGAACTGGGCTTAGGATGTTCAAACTGAAATGAAAACAAATATGTTTTTGATTCAAAATTCATGTAATTTGCTTTTTCATGTAAGGTTTATGTTGTATTGTAAGCTCAAGTTTCGCAATTAGTAGACATGCTGCTGCCGAGCTCTGTTGAGAGACACACAGACTCGGGTAATGCACACGCGCCTAATATCTCTCGGTCTAATAACTGCATTAGTCTGTTAGCAACGGTTCATGCCTCCATTACTAGGTCTGAAACGATGCTTTGGAATTAGCAACTGAAGCATAGGATGAGATGCTACATGTAATCCTACACACAAGAGCGTTTTATAGACAAAAACCTGACAAATGTCTTGAAATACAACATCTGAACAATCTCTCGAGGTGTGGTAAGTGGAATAATTGACTCTACTTCACGTCTTGTGCGCATCACCTCGGCTGTGCATTATATTCTAATAATTTAATGGTCCCTCGTCAGTTATTCCTCACTTAATTTTGGCCAAAAATCTAAGGCATATGGGACTGCAGAAGGCCCTGGAACAAGTGTACAAGTACAGGGAGTGTTTTATCTGGAAGTTATTTTATTTATGTAATAACTAATATCCCCGGTTGTCAAAGAAAATAAATAAATAATGATGAATGAACAGTGAATCACTTGGCAATTAAACATCTAAAATGTATTATCCTATGCATATTAAATTCTTTTTTATATTAAATGTACAAAAATTCAGAACAGGCTTGACACAAATCTGTATGATATCAGAAACAAATAGATTTATGATGAATACAGGGACAGCATGGTTAGACCTAAGCAGATAACACAGTCCATAGAGTGCCAGACATATGACAACAAACTCAATGGAGAAAATAATCCAGATAACCACCATTTCAGATGAAGATGCACACACAGCTGTCTTCACAGATGTCCAGTTTAATTTCTCCAGTAACCAAGCTAAATAGTTTACTTCCAACTGGAATGTCATGTTGGTTGAGGTTTCAGGGTAGGCCATGCTCTGTGAACTGGGCTTAGGATGTTCAAACTGAAATGAAAACAAATATGTTTTTGATTCAAAATTCATGTAATTTGCTTTTTCATGTAAGGTTTATGTTGTATTGTAAGCTCAAGTTTCGCAATTAGTAGACATGCTGCTGCCGAGCTCTGTTGAGAGACACACAGACTCGGGTAATGCACACGCGCCTAATATCTCTCGGTCTAATAACTGCATTAGTCTGTTAGCAACGGTTCATGCCTCCATTACTAGGTCTGAAACGATGCTTTGGAATTAGCAACTGAAGCATAGGATGAGATGCTACATGTAATCCTACACACAAGAGCGTTTTATAGACAAAAACCTGACAAATGTCTTGAAATACAACATCTGAACAATCTCTCGAGGTGTGGTAAGTGGAATAATTGACTCTACTTCACGTCTTGTGCGCATCACCTCGGCTGTGCATTATATTCTAATAATTTAATGGTCCCTCGTCAGTTATTCCTCACTTAATTTTGGCCAAAAATCTAAGGCATATGGGACTGCAGAAGGCCCTGGAACAAGTGTACAAGTACAGGGAGTGTTTTATCTGGAAGTTATTTTATTTATGTAATAACTAATATCCCCGGTTGTCAAAGAAAATAAATAAATAATGATGAATGAACAGTGAATCACTTGGCAATTAAACATCTAAAATGTATTATCCTATGCATATTAAAACACATATACCTTATTTGTATGTTGTGATTTCGATTTTTGTCCGTCCTGTAATACTCCTCGACCTGAAACACAGGAGAATTTCCTTCATTGCCATTAGAAAATAATCCACTAACAAGCATACTTGAAAAGCAACAAGAAGGTGAATTTGTATGGCTCCCTTCAATAACCAATTTAATGATTAATACTGCTTTAAAAATCAAACTCATTGCTGATTGTAAACTGCAACATCTACTTGCAAAAATCTGCAATGGAATAGAATACAAATGATATGCATTTATTTATCTAAAAAAAATTATATTTCTGTAAAATAAATCTAAAAAATATTTCTATAAAAAAATCTGGTAATAATAAAATCTGTTTTGTTGTTTGTGTACTATAATATAATAAAGGTTAAATATTTATCCAAACAACAAAGTAAAAAAAAAAAAAAAAAGTTTACTGTAGATACATGAATACACAGACAAAAACAAAACATCTAAGAAACTAATAATGAGCTTGTAGGTAAGAAAGAACAAAGGAAAGATTTTACCTGACGCAGAGGCTGTTGGCTGATATGGTTGGCAGTAACTGATGAAGAAACAACATTACAGAGAAAGGGAGGAGTTCTTAATGCTTAATTGCCTCCATCCTCCATGTGTTCTGCATTTTAGTTGATATGGGAGAGTACTAAGAGTAATAGTCGGCTAAAATGTCCTGAAATGCAATTATGATAACTTTGGATTACAAAAATGAATAATGATGAGTGGCTGGTAAAATGGTTAACTTGGCTGTGTATGGAATTAGTATTTCAGTACATAAATTACTTATGTGACTTAAAAGTTTAAGATAGAGAAAAACAAGAGATCTGTGTACATTTTGATTAAAAGGATCATTATTGCATGCAATTTTATTTGAAAAAAATGTTTTATTGAAAAAAAAAACCCCTGCAAAATATTTTACCACAAATATTACAGAACACACATGTCATTTAGCAATTAAAACTCATGCAAAGGGTTCCTACTCATGGTAACATGCTTAGAGGCCAATCTGAACTGCTGAAGAACTGGCAAAGCCCCCAACATAGCATGTTTATCACTCTCCTCTTTTACAAAGAGCACCGAAATTTAAGTTTAGTAAAACAACTTTTCAGCATTTCTTCAATCATGACTTCATGTACTTTCTTCCTTTAGGATCTTTATTATTTGTGTCCTCATGGTATGAACATGTCTGTCAACTTATGGCATATGAGCATTAACTTTCACACTAGTGCTGCGGCCTTGTAAAGAGATGAAAAACATCCTCTGATAATTCAAACAGATTGTTCTGTTAAGCACAATGTCAATAAGCGATACATTCAGATCCAGAATCTCTCCAAGGACCTGCTGGCTGTTTATGTACAAATATATAATTTCAGGGTGATTACATGAATGTTGAATTACTATAGTTCTTAGATTTCCTGTAAATAATGAGGGGATGATGTTCTTTTGGTGTGTACATCACTGGTGTGTGGTATTATTAGATGTCTACCAAGCAACAGCCTATAAAAATCCTATTATTTCTATATATTTTTAATGGATAGCCCCCTGCAAAATATTTTACCACAAATATTACAGAACACACATGTCATTTAGCAATTAAAACTCATGCAAAGGTTTCCTACTCATGGTAACATGCTTAGAGGCCAATCTGAACTGCTGAAGAACTGGCAAAGCCCCCAACATAGCATGTTTATCACTCTCCTCTTTTACAAAGAGCACCGAAATTTAAGTTTAGTAAAACAACTTTTCAGCATTTCTTCAATCATGACTTCATGTACTTTCTTCCTTTAGGATCTTTATTATTTGTGTCCTCATGGTATGAACATGTCTGTCAACTTATGGCATATGAGCATTAACTTTCACACTAGTGCTGCGGCCTTGTAAAGAGATGAAAAACATCCTCTGATAATTCAAACAGATTGTTCTGTTAAGCACAATGTCAATAAGCGATACATTCAGATCCAGAATCTCTCCAAGGACCTGCTGGCTGTTTATGTACAAATATATAATTTCAGGGTGATTACATGAATGTTGAATTACTATAGTTCTTAGATTTCTAAATAATGAGGGGATGATGTTCTTTTGGTGTGTACATCACTGGTGTGTGGTATTATTAGATGTCTACCAAGCAACAGCCTATAAAAATCCTATTATTTCTATATATTTTTAATGGATAGCACTGTAAAGCAATTGATAAAATCAAATGTGCAAACTGCAAAACAGGGACATTCAGGGAAATATCACTCCATACACTACTATTCAAAAGTTTGGGGTCGGTAAGATTTCTATTATCCTCACCAAATACGCATTTATTTGATCAAAAATACAGTATAAAGAGTAATATTGTGAACTAGTACTACAGTTTAAATATTACTACTGTTTTCTATTTTAATATACTTTAAAATCTAATTGAATCATGTGATGGCAAATCTGAATTTTCAGCTTTACTGTCACATTAGATCAATTTAATTAATCCCAGCTGAAAGTATTAATTTCTTTCAAAAAAAAACTTACATTTGGCCCCATACATTTGGTAGTGTACATTTATATATGTGGGCATATTTTGGCTACATCATAGAGAGTAACTGAAAATTAGACATGGTAAAAAAGTAAAGCTTAAATGAAAGGTGCTTATCTTTGAAGAGCTGTTGAAATATGTACTGCTAAAAAATATTTTCACAAATTTTTAAAACTGTCTGCAAGGAAACCTGAAAAAACTATTTTCTTTTTCCTCAATGTGTACAATCATGACAATCAGATCAGCTCAAGCCCTTTTAAGGATACATACGACGTGAGCTAATAAATCCCAGCACTGAACGACTATGTATGTATAAAATGAATAAAGCTACAAGTAGTCAAACCCTCAGGACTGTAGCTCAATCAGAGAATACAACCAAATTAATTCTGTGCCAGACATATGAGTGTTTTTTAAATTTTGACCTTTATGTCACTTATTTATATGGATAGTAGAGAGAGTACAGGGAGTGAAGGATAAACAAATAGGGCCCACTGGAAACCGTTAACCAGCTTCACCATGCTAGTCAATCAGATTGATCAAACTCAAAGCAGCCCAGCTCATTATGCAATGTGCACTAACCGCTCCAACACACAGGGTTTTAAATTGAGAGCTACAGCATGAGAAAAACAGAACAAGTGTAGCTGACTGAAAACACGATACAGCCACATAATATAAATGTCTGCTGAGATATGAAAGCAATAATGATACCCTTAATTTCATGGAAATTACTGGAAATAGTTGACAAGCATGGAAATCCAGAAACATGTCTCGTGTGAGGCCTACCACCTTATTTAAGATGTTTTTCTCCTCTTTTACAGTGCTAGTATAAACCATTTTACATACAGAATTGCTGAACTGCTAAAGAAAACCTACTGCTATACACTGCAATTTGTCTTGTGCTTTGTTGGTAAACTTCAATAAATAAATAAATAATTCCTTAAACCACCTCAGCTGGGTATAATCATAATCTTTGTTCCCATCTATTCGTTGATCTCTGACCCTCACGACATCTTCCAGAAAAAATGGTGGATCAGTCTCTCTGAAAAGACCACCCAGAGAACGAAGCACATGAGCTAGTCAAACCCTCACTTCTGTCCAAATGGCTTTCTTCATCTCACGACAGAGACTGGACAGACAGTTTGCACATCAGAACTGTCCATTTAAGTCACTTTAAAGAAAGGGAAAAGGAGAAACAAAATATACGACCATACGAAATGACACTTTCAGAAAGTGCTCCCAGTTCCTCAAAGTCCTCTGGGCTTGGGAAGTCTTACAGACATGATTAAAGCATCTGATCAAAGCACGCTTTGGATTACTCTTACTGAAGAGCAGAAGTGCTTACGGCCCTTCCTCCGGGCTGCTGTGGTTTGCTGGACACCCTCTTGTGTTGGGGCTTCTACAGGAGTCTAAGAAACCCCTCCGTAGCTCTTCCGTAATTGTTTACCTTGGGGGACATGCATAGGGTTGAAGAGCGTGCATGAGA